TATATATATATATCTCCATCTCCTGCTGCATCACAAAAGATGTACGAGCAGACAGCTCAGTGGAAGGAGACGGGTTCAGGTTTATTTTTAATAAGATGGATTCAACGTACGTTATTCCTTCATGTAGATTTTTTTTTGCGATAAAGCAGCTCCACAGCTTCACCATGAAACAACAAATGTTAGAAGTTCTGATGCAGCTGCAGCTCAAAGGAAACTGTTATTTCTCACATTAAACTAAAACTTATAGACAAGTTGTTCAACAAACTTTATGTAATTTGTGTTTTTAACAGGTTGAAGAGATGAGACACATCTGGAGCCAGTTCTAAATGAGACAGTTTATGGTTTATAAATTATAGTTCAGCAGTTTTTGTGCAGGTTTTCACAGGTTTTGAAATTTTGTTAAAGATTTCCATCCATCCATCCATTTTCTTTGCCCGCTTATTCCATTTTGGGTCACGGGGGTCGCTGGTGCCCATGTCCAGCAATCACTGTGCGAGGGGCGGGGTACACCCTGGACGGGTCGCAAGTCCTGTTAAAGATTTACTAAATATAATAAATATGGTTAAGACTGAAGTCTGTAATTTCATATTAGGTTAAGTTTTGAAAATATAACAAATGTTAGAGCAATATGGTTAAAAAAACACTGTGAAGTCTGTATTTTATTTTGAGTTAAACTTTAATATACTATGGAAGGCTGAAGTCTGTTTACTTTTATATTTATATGTTTTTAATTATTTGTGTGTGATGGACTGGAGACCTGTCCAGGTGTCCCCACCTCTCACACAGTGATGGCTGATATGGGCACCAGTGATACCAGTGACTCGAAAAGGAAGAAGTGGATGAAGATGATGGATGAATTATTTGTTTTTAGATTTTTATTAATTTTATTTGTTTTTAAAAAAGTCATGCAACTAAACCTAACCTAATACTGGTAATTTAAGTTATAGAAATGTATGCACTCCTATATTTGTTCCTATTTTTGGTATAAATGTAAAATGAATCAAAAAGATTTGATACAGTGAGGAACCTAAAATGATTTTTAAATAAATGTTCGATTTGTTTACATTGTTGTTTAATCTTTTCAGCTTGTCAGTTACATAATTGAAACAAAATTTATGACCATTTCAATTGAAAAATCGATTTTAAATCGTATCATGACACCAAAAATTGGAATCGAATCGCGAGACACAGATTCGCAGCCCTAATGTGGATGGTGGTGGAGGGCTGGCCTCCACGCTGTTTCCTCAAGTCCACTGTCTTCTCCTTAGTTTTGTTGACATTTAGAGACAGGTTATTTTCCTGACACCAGCTGGTCAGTGATTTCACCTCGTCTCTGTAGGCACCCTCGTTGCTGATGGTGTCACCAGCGTACTTGAGGGTGACGTTTGAGCTGTGCTTGGCGGTACAATCATGTGTAGATAGAGTACTAGAGGTACAATCATGTGTAG